TAGAGGAAGCCACGTCAGTTGAAATAAATCAATTATAGAAGTAAAAAGTGCGATGTATACAAATAAAAATAAGCTGCATACAGACATGAGTTCTATTTGTTCTGGCCCCATTCTCTAACATAATCATCATCTCATTGTCAGATAGTGAGACATATCTTTCAACTTCTACTTCAGAATCCTCAAAATAAATTTCTTATAATTCTCATTGATATTGGCTTTGCCCACCCGTTTAAACAACTTTCCAATTAAGGGCATCATCATAATAGGAAACTTATCAGAGAAACACTGGAGACTCAAAAGAGATGCCAGTGGACATCTTGGAAGGGAATAGTGGAAGGACTCAAACCACTTGAAAGGGTTACAATTTTATTATACATGACTGGAGGAGTGTGCAGCACACGGGTGGTTTGGTTACTCTTCCGTATTACTAAGAAAATCCAATAATTATCTATTTTCCACTACGTTTGACGTGATCGAAACTGCTAAAGTATTTGCTGTTGTCCTTTTTTTTAAAGGCAAAATTTATTAATACAAGTCCAATCTGTGTTGATATAACAAACACCGAATGAAAAGTTCAGATTAGAAAGAAAATGGTACAGACTGTACACTGTGATCCAATATAGAATACACACCACATTGAAATACAACAAAATAACCCTTTACTCTGTTGAAGCTTCTTCCCACTTCCAAGCATTGTTAGGCTACAGCACAGTTGCAGCAATCCTTCTAGGAGCCTCATCCAATAAAATCTTAATGTTATATTATGTGTTTACTATGTGCAGATCGATATGAACTAAGTTGCTGGCATGACAGCATATTGTCCACAAAAGTTCAAATAGTCCACTCTTGCTTAAGATAGGACAAATAGCCACGCCACAATCCACACCTTCAATTCCTCCATGTTGGCAACAATAAGCTTCCCTCCACGAACCTCTTACATGCTTTACCATCAGCAACCTGTTTTAAACAGAACACCCAGTCTGCAATGAAATACACCTTCAATAATGATTCGGTAATTCCATCAGACAGAACAGGGGGTTCTGAAAACTCCTGCTATTCCACCAAACCAGTGTTGCTGACGGCGGATGGCGGTCTATGGCGGAGAGCCAAAATCCCTCCATACCGTCCACTTTACAGCGCCGTTATTGTGGAAAAACCCACAATAGCAGCCGATATTTATCATTGCGGAAAACACAAAAACCGCAACGTATATCCGCCATAGCGGCCATCACGCCACAATTTGATAACACTGCACCAAATAACATAGTTCTCACAAAACACAGCGCCACAATTTGATAACACTGCACCAAATAACATAGTTCTCACAAAACACAACGCCACCATCTGATTATTGCAAATAACCTTCCAGAATAGATGTTTTATATCTTCCTCTCCACAACCACTCACAGAAATTGTTGCATCCCTCACTATGACCCCTCTCAGTAACAAATCAACCTTTCTAGGAATCGTCTTTTGGAATAGTCTCCAAACAAACACCTTAATCTCCTTCAAAAACATTACAAACTTCATTCACCTTAACCTCCTTATTTCCTAATCGCTATGCTATACAATCTCATAAACCTATATTTCAATGTACCATCTCCAATCCATTCGTCCAACCAAAAGAACACATCACTGCCACTTCCCACTATCTTTCTCATTCTATGTGAACACCAATTATTTTGAAATCCCCATAGGCCCTTCTTTGTTACTTTGATGACCCACTACCAATTAGATTAAATACCAATCTCACATACTCCATCTTGCTTTTATATTTAGCCACAATCACCTTTCCTCACAAATGTTGTCTATCTAATTTGAGCCTCCACGCCCATTATTTCAAGAAGTGCTAAATTAAAAGCTCTCAAAACTTTTTATCCCCAAACCCATCCTCCCCTATCTTACTTCACTATCCCAACTAACTCAATGATTTATTTTTTTTTGGTTTTCACCCTCTGGTTCCTAGGGGAAAGGAGCCCTAGTAATCCAGAGTTCGGTCTGGGAAATCATAAGTTTGGCCAAACATCCCACCAGGAATAGAACTTGGTATTCTCTGAACCTTTGTTCCTTAACAGGAGCTCGTTTACCACTCGAGCCCAAGTGTTTAGTTACTCAATGAATCTTTCTACTTATTACATAAATGGGATAATGTTACAGTTTTCCTAGCAAATTCATCAAGATTGGAAATCAGTGACACAAAAATTGTAAAAAACATGAAAACTTTAACCATCATTTGTGAATTTGAACTATAAATATTCAAAATTCAAGCACAAACCTAAACTCAAAATTGAAAAGGGAAGAAGAGTAGATGACCTTGGAAAGAGGAGGCAGTGTCGTTGAGATCGGAGTAGCAGGTTGAAGAAATGGGGAATGTGCGTTGGAGACATTCGAAGAAGACGTTGAGGTCACGATCGTTAGGGTCCTCCAAAACCCTAACGACGTCTTTGCTTAAGGAAATCAGGTGATTCATGTCCATGTTTTTTGGGTAATCAGGAGCCATCAGCAACCCTAACGAGGCCCCGCCTTTTGCTTTTGTTTGAAAATAAGTTCAGCTCATGCATCATGTTCACATGTTGTTTTCCTCTTAAGGTGAAATTTTAAAAATATTACTTTTAAAAATTGGGAATATGTGCATATTAAGATGATCACTGCTGTTTATTAAGAAATAATTTGAAGAAAAAAAATAACATGTCATTCTTTTGAAATAATTTTTTATTAATTATAAATTTAATTTCTGTTTTAATAGGAATTATTTTGGCTTCGCGACGGGTTGGATATGTTTTGAGATAAAAACGTATCTAATTTAAAGATAATCTTTTTTTAATTTTGATATTCGATCTTATAATTAATTAATTTAAGAGGACCAATGTGGGAGCTCTATTTAAAGCCGGAACATTACTTCGTATAAACAGACTCAAAATAAGAAAATTCAAAGATAACTTTATTTGTGGTTTGGTTTTGAATAATTGATTATCAAATCTAATCTAATTTGATATAATTTCTTGTGATTTAAATTAAACTAATAAATAAGATTTAAAAGATAAGTATCATCGAATAATAAATTAACATAATATATCAAATTAATAAAAAATAAAAATAATAATAAGTAAACATAAAAATATACATGTGTGGTTAGGTTCAGATCAATTTTTTGAGATTTTTTTTTGATCGGTTTGGATTTGAACACCCCTATTATGGGTGATAATGAATGGTTCAAATTTATTCTTGTCTTTTTTGTTTTTATTTTTTCTTACAAATAAGCATTTTCCTACTAGGATTAGGGTAGTCAACAAATATTACGGTAGTCAACAAATAGTGTGTGTTATAAGGTCTATTTGAAAACTAGTGCATAAGTAAAAAAAATGAACATGAGTGAAAATTGGACACACGTGAGTTTGAGAAAGAAAAGAGTTAGAGAATTTGATTTCATCAAGAGGATATATATAAATAGGCAAAAGAGAGAGCAACTACTTATTATATAAATAATCTATCAATAGATATCATTAGGGAAGAGATGGCGATAACGTTTGTTAAGTGAGGAAGAGTTGTAGATGTATTTTGCAACAACAAAAAATAGAAGATTTTTTTGGCTAGAGAATCAGGTCAAGGATATTTAGTTTGAATTGTATAAGACTTGAGTAAATATTTTAAGATTCGCAAGAACAGAGAGAATAAAATCACATAAAGATGACATCCCTGCCAATAGGAAAGGGTTAGAAAACTCAAAAAGTCAAAAGGAGTAAGGCATAAGAGGTTGCAATGTCATACAAAGGATCAAGAGGTATAAAGGCATAAGAAGAGGAGGAAAATTGTACGTAAATGCAATTAGAAATAATATAATATGTCAAAACAAAGTTGTAATCAGAAAGAGGAGATCGGAGGAAAGAAAGGATAAACAAAATGGAGAATCACGAGGGGGTAGGAATATCTATAAGAGTAAGTGAGGAAGAAATGGAGTGGGATAAGAAAGGCTACATTGGTTGTGGCGCAACATATAGTGTTCTGAAAACTCTAACAAGTCTAGTGAATTTATTGATAGTTTCAAACACAACAAGAAATTTGATGTGCGGAACAAAGAAAATTGTATTGGAAGAAATAGGTAAAAGTTGTTGTGAGTTTATTCTTCAGCCAAAGGGTGGTTTATATAATGAGAATACAATTAATACACTTAATTATATCTTTAATGGAGAATAAAAGAAAATAAATAAAAATAAACGGAAATAATTAAACAGGGAAATAAATTATTTTCCAACACCCCCTCGAGTTAGTGCATAGATATCTATCATACCCAACTTGTCTATCAAATGCTCAAAGGTAATTCTTGTCAAACTTTTGGTCAGGATATCTACAGTTTGCTGACTTGAAGTCATGAAAGGTAGACATATGATTCCAGCATCTAACTTCTCCTTTATGAAGTGTCGAACAATCTTAATATGCTTGGTTCTATCATGTTAAACTGAATTATGAGCTATGTTAATAGTAGATTTACTATCAGAGTACAATTTCAATGGAAGCTCAATTTTTATCTTAAGTTTTTCTAGGACTCTAAGGATCCATAATCCTTCACAAATACCTTGAGACATAGCTCTAAACTCAGCTTCTGCACTACTTCTTGCTATAACTCCTTATTTCTTGCTCCTCCATGTCATAAGATTACCCTAAACATAGGTGCAATGTCCAGAGGTTAATCTTATATTTGTGACTGAACCTGCCCAATCAGTATCGATGAAGATAGACACATTTCTTCCACTAGTCTTCTTAAAAAATAATCATTTTCCATGATTTCTCTTCAAATATCTCAATATCCTATAGACTGCCTCAAGATGTTCCTCAAAAGGAGAATGCATAAACTGACTCACTACACTAACTGAGAAAGCAATATCAGGTCGGGTGTGTGAAAAATAAATCAGTTTCCCAAACAATCTCTGATATCTTCCAGTATCAACAGGAACGTTACCTTATCCCTAAAGTTTAGCATTAGGATCCATATGTATTTCTGCTGTGAAACCATAATGCCATTCTTTGACCGAGCTACCTCTATACCTATAAAATGTCTTATGAATCCCAAGTTCTTGATTTCAAAGTCTACTGCCAATTTCTCTTTTACTCTTGCCATTTCCACAGTATCGTCTCCAATAAGGACAGTATCATCAACATAAACAATCAGGACAATAACTTTCCCATCGTGGGAGAACTTTATGAATAAGGTGTGGTCAGCCTGTCCTTGGATGTACCCTTGTTTCTTCATGGACTGAGTGAATTTTTCAAACCAAGCTCTAGGGGACTACTTTAATCCATACAAAGACTTATTTAGCTTGCACGCATTTGATCCAAATTTGTTTTCAAAACTAGTATGAATTGTTAGAACACAGATTGGTTCTTAATAATATCTCTATGTTTTGATGATAACTATTAGGAAATTTTGTATTTAAGAATTATATACTCTAAAATTTTCTTGAGAGTTTTTACTGCAGATAGTAAAGAAATTAACACTCCAGAAGCAAATCAGAGTTGAATACAAGAAATGAGCTAAACTCTGAAGCGCCAGATGCACTCATTAGAAGACTCTGATTGCTGCCAACAGAAGATTCTGAGTGTAGTCTCCAGAAGATTCTGAAGCAGAAGCTCCAGAAGAATCTGAAGCAAGTCAGAAGCATCTGAAGCAAGTCAGAAGCATCTGAAGCAAAGAAGAATTTTGTATGAAGAGCTTCTCAAAGCATAGTTTCTACAGAAGATTCTGAAAGTACTAAAGCTGCCAGTACTGAAGTTCTGTTTCAAATATGCTCTGATATCTAACATGCTGAAAGCACACCTGCTGCAGAAGACTCTGATCCAGCAAGCTCTGATCATCATCAGAAGACTCTGACCCAATTAGACTCTGATGAACTTGCTGAAAACTGAAGAAGAAATATTCAAAGTTTATATCCGTTGGAGTAAATCAAACGTCTCTTTCCTTATTTATGCTAGACACAAGAACACATACAAAAATGATTTTTCTGTGCTTTCTTCTTCTAGGAAAGGTCACTTGATGTGAAGACAAAAAGGCTCAGACCTTTTGGACACTCTTCTCAACGTGCAGCTTACCTTGGATCAGCTGCTTATAAAAGCAAGACTCCACCATATTCTTCAGTTAGACGTTTTGCTGAAAAAGAATTAAAACATTCAAGCTCTCATACTTTCATATTCATTCTTAGAATTAATTTCATTGTACTTAAACTTAAGAGAAATATCACTGTTGTGATTAAAGCTTTTTAGAAGCATTCTTACTCTTGTATTAGATTTACATTGATTGTAAAGGATTTCCTTAAGAGGATTCAGTTGGAATCAGTAGCTCTTGAGAAGACTAAGAACACTTGTTCTTAGGTGTTACTATTGTAATTTGTTTGATTAAATAGTGGATTAAGTCCTTGTTTGAGAAAGGCAAATCACTCTAGGAAGGGTGGACTAGAGTAGTTGAGTTCAACGAACCAGGATAAAAATAATTGTGTTTTAATTCTAAGTTTTAATCTTTCATACTTATTCAACCCCCCTTCTAAGTATTATCTCACCTTCAGTTGGCATCAGAGCTCCGGTTCTGTGTGTGCTACCACTTAACAGTGACAGTAAAGATCCAGAGAGAAATACTTTGATATATATTTAGTTGTTACTATGGCTGATAATACAATATCCAAAATTAACAATAAATATGAAGAAAGGGACAGAATCAGCACCAAACCCCCTATGTTTGATGGGGAGAAATTTGATTACTGGAAAGACAGAATTGAAAGTTTTTTCCTTGGATATGATGCTGATTTATGGGATCTAGTCATAGATGGATATGTTCATCCCACAAATGGGAATGGCAAGAAGATAGACAGAAAATCTATGACAGATGCTCAGAAGAAAGATTTTAGAAATCATCACAAGGCCAGAACAATATTATTGAATGCAATTTTTCATACTGAGTATGAAAAAATTACAAACAGGGAAACTGCTTTTGATATGTTTGAATCCTTAAAGATGACTCATGAGGGAAACTCTCAAGTCAAGGAAACAAAAGCTCTGGCTCTGATCCAGAAGTATGAGGCCTTCAAGATGGAAGACTCTGAATCTGTTGAAGCTATGTTCTCCAGATTTCAGATCCTCACAGATGGGCTAAAGGTTCTTGACAAGGGATACTCCACATCAGATCATGTAAAGAAAATCATCAGAAGTCTACCTACCAGATGGAGACCAATGGTGACTGCCTTGAAGATGGATAAAGATCTGAACAAGATCTCTTTAGAAGAACTCATCAGCTCACTAAGGAGCCATGAAATTGAGCTTGAGGAAGATGAACCTCAGAAGAAAGAAAAAGGTAAATCTGTTGCTTTAAAATCTAATAAATCTGCTAAAGCTTTGCAGGTTATTGAAGAAAGCTCTGAAGAAGAAGATGAATTATCCATGTTGTCCAGAAGGATCAACAGACTCTGGAAGCACAAGGGAAAGAAGTTCAACAACTTCAGAAAATCTGATCATAGA